TTATATATTATTATAATGATATAATCTTATTAAGTATTATTAATATTTCAATAAGTCCAAACTTCATATTTACGATTGTAATAAGTAAATAAAAATAAAAGTCCAGTTGTCATTTTATAACTTTTAATACAATATTGCAAACTACAGTTTCTTGGCTTGTAAGGAACATTTGTGACAGATTTGGCTTGATTCTGATCCTGTCCAGTCGCCGAAGGGTCACGCGTGCCGTTTGTAAACACCTGTATTAACCCTTCGTCTCTCTCTCTCTCTCTCGGTGAACTAACCCTTTAAGAACAGAGTGAAGACGCCTGAACTTCTCTTTGCTTCCAGATGATGCAGTTTCAAGGACGATTAAAGTTCCTTCAGGGTCAGAGGAAGAAGACGGCGTCCGGAGCGCTCCTGCGTCCTCAGCTAGCGCTGTTCTGTGTCGCTGTGCCTCTGCTCCTGCCCTCCATCACCGAGACGAAGATGAAGAGCGGCGTGATGAAGGGCAAACACAGGAACCCTGGCGTTCTCACCTCATTAGATCACAAGTAAGAGCAGATTCTTTCCTGCTTGTGCAGTTCAAAAACAGCCCTTCATGAGACTGTCTATAGTTTGGAGAATTACATTCTTTGCATTACTATATTTTCAGACTAATATTGCACAGATTCAGGCATGATGGAGAGTTATGGGAACAGTTAGTGCTGATTCATGAGTCTGTGTGTGTTTGTCTCGGCAGTGACAGAGACGATCCTCTCAGGCCTCTCGCTCTTCTGAGGCCACACATGAGCGAAGACAACGTCAAGTACAGGAGCGAAGGTCCCTACGGTCCAGACGAGCCTCTGAACTTCTGCAGGTCGAGCGGTCAGAACCTGGACTGCGGCGCGTGGCCCGTGAGAAGCTCCGGCGCTCGGCTCTGCAAACACACGCACTACGGTAAACCGTATCGATCGGCCCCTGGATATTACAGTAACAGAGCTGAGGCATACGGGAGCGCCGCGCACGACGACTACAGCACAGACGGCATCAAGAGCGAGAACTTCTGCTACGAAGATCCCGGCGAGGGATACGAAGCACACGTGATGATCGAGCCGCTCGTAAAGCTGGAGCAAGACTCTGACGCGGAGAACGGCTGCGGACGGCCCTGGACGGAGCTCGAGCGTTTCCCGAACGGCACGCAGATGAAAGCGGAGGGTGGATACGGCGCGCAGTACTCCTCCTGCCAGAGGCTGAAGGGAACGACGTACAGCAGTCATTATCCCTCTAACGCTTACGGAGGGGCACGACCGCTCAAGTGCGTCCTGAACAGAGAAGCAGTGAACTCTCAGTGTGTGGACGCCTACGCTGCTGACTACAGAGGGTACGTACAGCACGACTACAAAACGGGTTACGAGGTCAGAGGTCACGGGCTGCTTCACTGCATCAAACAGGAGCCCGTCGACGCTCCGCTGTGGCACGACATCCACAGCACCGGCCAGAGGAACAACACGAGCTGTGCCAAGATCAACCCGTGCGTCTTCATGCAGTAGCGCTTCACTTTCATTCTGCCATTTATTCAGTTTGAATCTGGACACTCATGTGCTGCGTTTCAAACCCACAATCATCCTGTTGCTGGCACACACACAAACACACAACACTGCAAAACATGATGTTCTTCCTCAGGATTTCTGCCTTGTTTTTCAGCACATATATCCAAACATCCTTAAATCCAGATACATTTACTGGAGATGCAAAATGACTTGATATATGTGACCCTGCAGCACAAAAGCAGTGTTAAGTCGCTGGGGTATATTTGTAGCAATAGCCAACAATACATTGTATGGGTCAAAATTATAGATTTTTCTTTTATGCCAAAAATCATTAGGATATTAAGTAAAGATCATGTTCCATGAAGATATTTTGTAAATGTCCTACCGTAAATATATCAAAACTTAATTTTTGATTAGTAATATGCATTGCTAAGAACTTCATTTGAACAACTTTAAAGATGATTTTCTCAAGATTTAGATTTTTTTGCACCCTCAGATTCCAGATTTTCAAATATTGTTCTATCCTAACAAACCATACATCAATGGAAAGCTGATGTATAAATCTTGACCCTTAATTGACCCTTATGACTGGTTTTATGGTCCAGGGTTACATATGAAATCTTGATTTCTGAAAAAGTGTTCAAAATTGAGTTTACAAGAACAACTATCTGTTTTTCCTTTGAACTTTGTTGTTGTTGTCTGAGCTCATTGACAGATATTTGTTCGGTTTTTTTTCAAGCTTTAAGTCACTCATTTAGATTCATTTTTTCAGAAAACAAGACATTTTTGCTTGTATTTTGAGTCAAGAATGTTTAATTTTTGTACTGAAAAACAAGACAAAAATACTAAGAAAATCATTTATTGCAGTGAAGTTTTTTGTCAGGTTCAGCGTCTGGGTTAGATTTTCTTTGGTGGGCTTTCATTATGTTCTTCTATGCACTTTTGTATAGTCAGGCTAATATTTCTTTCTTATTTTCTCTGTTTATTGAAAATGGACAAGTAAAAATTACTAACATAAAAATGAGAACAGAAAAAAATGACAATAATCTGAAATTATTCTGTTTATTTCATTTGAAATAGTAAAAGACAAAGATTGATTTGAAGGTTCAGGATTTGCTGAGAGTCTAATAATACATCATCATGATCACTGGTTTACTTTTAGCAGTTGTTTTATTAAAGCATTTCATCTGCATGTTTATGAAGTATTTAAAGGTTTAAAAACGGAAGGATTTCATCTGAAGTTTGTGTTCAGATATCAGCCGGATCAACGACACAAATCTTCTTATATCTCACTAAACAGCCAAGAGGTGAAAAAACAAACTAATATGTTGAAGCAGACCAGTAATAAAACATATTCAATAATAAAAGTCAAATATTTAGGCTCTTAAACATTGTGATGTTAAATTCGCTTCAGCATTGATGAGTGTTTAATAGAGCATGCTCTGAAGTTTCTGAAGACTTTATATAAAACTACTGTTTAAAATGTATCAATAAATAGTAAAGTATTAATAAATAATAATAATAATAATGCTGCACTTGCACTATTGGGGCTAGAAACCCTGCGAGACGTGATGTCCTCGTGACACGCTTGGCTTCCTGGTGATTAATGAGCTGTTTCTGGAAGGTTCATTTCTAGCAATAATTTGTATTTATTGTTTAATGACCTTTTGCACTTTTTCAGGAAGGATTTTAACATGACGTTTTGCCTCTGGCATTCAATATGGGCAATAAATATTAACAGAAGATACAGTGATGCAAAGCAGCAACACTCAAATGTGGGTCTTCCTGTTATATTTATTACTTTTATAAAAATAAAAATCTTGTATGACAAAAAGTCCACGCATATGTACTATTGTAGTGTCTTGCTATGAATAAGGGCAGAAATAATCATTTCCACTTGTGATTCACATTCTCCTTTTGAACACTTTAATAAGTGTGTGAGTAATAGCCGTGAATTTGTCAGACATAAACAGATCTGCAGAGGCCAGTATTTTGGGGGGAAAGAATGTTTACCAGAACATTATGTGACAACAGAAGATTTTTAAAGCTTAAATCAGGGTTCTGCTGTAATGAAGCAAACACAGAGAGACCCAACTAGTTCCAGCAGGTGGAGATGATTTAATCCAGTTTAACCCTGATCTGCTTCAGCAGCTGTAGTGACGTGGAGCTGGGATTAAATCATCCGTCGAGATGAATTATTCAACTGAAGCAGTGAATCTACTTTGAATTGAGCGGCTTTGCTCTTGATGCACACGTCATCAGGATGAAATAACCCTGCCGCATCAGATGCCCCGCCCACCGCCACTCAACACTCACTCCTATTGGTGCTGACATCGTCTGGTGGGCGGAGCTTGTCTCTTCACTCACACCTGTAAGAAACGCCTCAGACTGTAGATATCGTTCATAAACATGTTTGTTCACACTCATGATCATTTCTGCATGGACACAAACACTCGTTATCACCATCACAAAGCATTTACACGTCTGAAAAGTAAGTCCAGTAAAAGTTGAGACTCTGTCTAAGATGTAATTTGTGTTTAAAGTGTTTAAGGGTTTAAAATCCTATCAGCTTGTGCAACATCAGATCTGTAAAACTGCTGTAGGGCGACATCTAGTGGTCATCTGAATCAGCTCTCCAGCTCCAGGATCTGCATGAAAAATATATTCCAGAGACATGCAGAAACACTCTCGAGTTTTCTCACAGGCGTCTGTCAGTCTGTCTTCTTCAGCTGGGCCTCTGCGGGTCTGTAATGGGAGATTATTTGTCCCAGTATGAGAGAGTTTATGAGCAGAAACAGCAGCCCGGCGATCCAGATGAGAGCGAAAGTGTTCCAGCCCTCGAACTCCAGATAATACGCCGGCGACAGCCACAGCGCCTGCGAACACGACAGACGGCTGCCCAAACCACAGACTCACGCTGTTAGCATACGTGATGTCTGAACACACATTTTCAACATCCCTCCCTCACCCAACCGGACCCCGCGGTCTCTTTACAATGGGGTACATAATGGATAGAAAAGATGGAAACACATTTCTAACACATAAAAAAAAGAAAGTGCTTTGTTATTATGACTTTTGATCTCATTATGAATGTCATAATTTTGACTTTTTTTCTCATAACTGTAATTGTTAAGGTCATAATTAAGCCTTTTTGCTCATAATTTTGTTCATTTTATGCCATAATTATAGTCATACTTTTGTTAACCTCATAATTATGATTTGTCGAAGCATGGTTTTTATTTCCTATGTAGCAAGAGTGAGTTTCCACATACAGGTCAGAACAGATGAGATGATGAACACAGACCCAAGCATTAAACACACATCTGCTAAACAGTACGCGTGCTCGCTGTCTGTCACCTGTGTGATGAACCGGGAGGCGTCGGTGAACACGTGATAATCCACATCCGTGTACTTGAGCTGCAGATTCTGATCCTGATACACACCGAAGCACAGCAGGGAATCAAGCTTCCTGGAAGCCCACACTTCCGTGTCCCGAGTCCACGTGACTGCAGATCACAAGAGTCTGACCAATCGGAGAAGTGCCATGAAACACCGCCTCTTTTGTACCGCGCGACTCATTTCTGTCACTGCTTCTTCTTCTTCTTTCTTTACGGCGGATCGCAGACTTATAAGTGCATTACCGCCATTTCTGTCACTTCGACATTGATCAATATATTCATGTGTACAGTTTGTTCAGGGATTTTACTGTTCGATTAAAACGAAACAAACCTTGAAAACAGAACATATGGCATCAGTCCAGTGCGACCGAAGCGATTTTTGAACCGATATTAGTTATTAGCTATTTTTTTGTTTGTTTCAAGCGTACCATGCGCGTCATCTCCGCCGTGGCGTGATGACGTTTTTCCGGCCGAGCGTCAGACGGTGGATGGAGGAATAACAGCGCGCAAAACATACAGTAAAGATGAACATATTCACTTATTATTACTACTATAGAACATGTGAAATGCGGCTGAATTACACAAGATAATCAAGTATGGTGAACATTTGCTGTTGTTTGGTTATCGCGTGTTGTTTGTTTGGCTTTAGTCATGAATCACTGTGACGTCACCTCCCGTCGCGCTGATTTTTCTCCTCAGACTGTTTGTGTGTGTTTATATTCCTAACGCCACTCGAGCTGTCCTCTCAAACCTCCTCAGGACGACTGCTCGTGTGTCTCCGCAGGCCGTGACTGCGACCGTGTGTGGAGCGATGGCCACACCGTTTGTTCCGGTACCCGTGCCCATTGAGCGAGCTCCGCGGGCGGACAGCAGGAGAGAGAGAGCCGCGGCTCCGGACAGATGCCCGAGTCCCGTCACCCGCGCCAGGCTCAACGGCACCGAGCGCTCGGTGGAATTTTCCAGCTACCCGCTTCCAGAGACTCCGGGACAGAGCTGGGAGGAGCGGCCTATCACGCCCACCGTGCTGGGGTACGAGGTGATGGAGGAGAGGGCCAAATTCACAGTGAGTCCTTCAGATGTTACATTAATCACAGCAGACCCAGCTTCAGGATTGGTCAGGATCAGCTCAGTTTCTACAGAGATAGTCTGGTTCAGCGGCAGGACCCACATTTCTTCTTCTTCTTCTTTGGAGTTTTACGGCAGTTGGCATCCATAGTGTTGCATTAGGACCCACATTTCTCTCGGTTTCTTCTCAGTAGTAGAATTGAGTAAGAACTGCAGCAGGTCTCTCTTCGTGCTCATTGGTTTGTGAGTCATGTGTGTCTGACCAATCACAAGCTGTAGCCCCGCCCTCTAGCTCAGTGGTTCCCAAACTTTTTGCAGGGTGCACCCCTTTCTAGTGTTTGACACATGTCAAGCACCCCCACCACCATACTCCGGTTAAACACCACATTTTTTTACTGCAATACAAGTGTTCACTGTATACAGGGCTTGACAATAACTCTTTTGCTCACCAGCCACTGTGGCTAGTGGTTTTCAAAATTACTAGCCGCTCAGCATTTTCACTGGCCACAATTTTGTTGCTGGAAAATTACATTTTATGTGACTAAAGTTACTGCATATTAAAAAATATTTGAATTGATTTCCAGGTCCTTTTTTTTTTTTTGCCTATAAAAAGGGCATTTCCCCCTAACCTTATTAAATGCATGTGTCATCTTTTATATCAAATTCTTACATTTTATTAATAATTACACTTAATATAATAAGACTCTATAGGGCTGTTACCAATCAAATGAAATCAGTATTAACAAAACCAAATTTTCCACTGCTGGAGAAACAGAAGCAGCTGAAGTGGCATTTAGATGCATTTACACAGACAATTTAATGAAGCTGAAATGTAGCATGAATTTGGTGCTTCCCTAATTCGATGTTTTAATAAGATTAGATTAGTTGTCCGGTCGGGCAAGTAAAATTCTCTTTCACTTGCCCCTTCAAAAAAAGCACACAGATCATCAAAAGCATTCTCTCGCGCACCCCTGCTGGTCGGTCTGTGCACCCCAGTTTGGGAACCGCTGCTCTAGCTTATCCCTCGTGATGGGAGAAACCAGAACATGCATGTTTTTACAAACTGCAAATGTAGTTTAAAATGACATGTATGTATGTATAAGACGTGTTCCTTTATTGGATTGGTTGGCCTGTTTTGGGTGTTTTATGGCTAATCAGGCATGGATAAGAGACAATGAACTACTGCTCTTCCTTTTTATTATACAAATGTGCTATTAAAATGATGAAAACTGATCTAAAATCAGGTAAAAACCAAACAGACGCTGGTTTATGGGTTCACTGAGATCATCAACAGTGACATTCTGAAAAGTTTTTAAACGGTTTATAAGCCTGATTTACTGAAATCAAATGATGAAGGCAGTGCTCCGAACCACTGATTGGAAACAAGAGATTTGAGGGGCTGTTGTAGCTGGGAAAGGGGCTAAAGATCATGAGTCGTATTGGTCTGATGATTCTGCTCAGTGTTGTCTTCTGTCTGGTGTGTAGAAATGACTAAATGTCCATCTGCTGCAGGTCTATAAGGTTCT